CAGGGCGAACTCCTGTGCGCTCCTCTTCCCCTGTCGGAGGTAGAATAGACGCTCCCCCGCCGCTTTCCCCTCAGGTGGATGATCGAACACTGCCCTGAAGCGGCGGGAGAACTCCGCGTAGGTGATGGTGGCGGCGTCTATTCCCCTCCATTCGGCGTTGGCCCACTCCAACGCCTTGCCGGTGAGACAGGTGATGAGGGTGGAAACGCTCTCGTATCCCGAGGGCGCCGGGTGTATGGTGGCCAGGTAGAGTTCCACCTGCAGGAGGAACCCCTGACACCCGGCTGCGGTGCCATCATACGCCCTCGGGAGCGAGAGCCGAATCCCACTGGATTTCGGAGCTGGGATGGGAAGACTGACCGATGGTGGTGGTAAGGTTGGAGGAGGTGTGGGCACTCCTCCACTCTCCCATCGGCGCAGAGTGTTTATCACCTCTTGCAGGGCGGATCCAAGTTGCTGGATCCTGGCGTCTTGACCGCTGACTCGATCCTCCAGCGACTCGGGTGCCGCCGCTGCTCCTGCTGACTCCATAATGGTGTGTAATTCTGTCAGAGGTGCTGATGTCTAAGTGGTGGTGGAGTCAGGCGCAGGACACAGAAGCTTAGTCCAAACAGACTTTACTAGTCAGGGAAAAGGACAATACAAAATAAAGGGCCTCGAACGACGGAGGCGCGTGATACGCAGACAGTGCGTAAAACACTAAATATAAGAGATGCGCAAACAGTGCGTCAATACTCTTGATAAAGAGAATGCAAAAACAAACAACCCCAACGGACAGGCGTACAATTACACACAAATAACTACAAACAAAACGAGAAACTTATAGGAGACATAATGAACACTAAATGGAAACAGGTGTACAAAGAAGACAAAACCAAACAAACATCGATAACATTCAACGGTGGCAGCTAGTACTCCGGGGACGACGAATGCCGAAGCCTGCCCGAGCAAGGAGGAGGAGCAGCCTCGGCAGAATTCGTGACAATTTCAAGTCTCATAGCAAAGGGTTTGAATACTTATATAAATAAGGTATTTCCGTTTTTTTTATAAATTTGCAAAAACGTCTAAAAGCCTGTTTTCGCTTTGTCATTATGAGGTATTGTGCGTAGATTGCTGAGGAATTTGTTTATTTAATCAATTTTAGAATAAGGCTGTAACGTAACAAAATGTGGAAAAAGTCAAGGGGTCTGAATACTTTCCGAAGGCATTGTATACTCCTAGGTCTTCTTATTACACTCATACTGTAATGGCAGGTGCGCTATGTGTGGCTCTGTGTACAATTTAGGGCAAATCGTCCTGTCCCACCCCCCAACAAACCAGTGTCTGTGATTGTAGTAATGAAGCCAGTTCAAAAGGATCCCTCCAGACTCTGTACCTGTCACATTAGATCACACTGCTGCACCCACCATGCTGACTGTAGCCTCATCTCTTCTGACAACTGCATGCTCAGAGACAAATGCCACTGGTCTAGGCTGGCTGTGGCTCTCTCTCTCTCACACACACTACTGACAATTTCATCTCCTCAGGGGAAGACAGTGGAATATCTGTTTCACATCTGTTTGTTCTTATAAGTGATAGGGGGTTGAATGAGTCCTTAGTTAAATTTAGGATTCTTCTCTCTTCTTTGACCTATAGTGTCTTGTCTCGGTTAAGATTGTAATGGTTTTAATGAAACACTGCTAGTCAGGATTCCTTGATGGATACATGTGGAAACAAAGCTATGTATGACTTGGTTACTCAGCTTGTGCTTTAGCCATTTTGCTAAAGCAGTTCATATAGCTAACTAATAGCCTTCAAGTCTCCAAGCTTTCCCTTCTGTGTGAGTACATGTATTTAGTGAATCAGTAGTATTGTGGCCACTCAAGGTAAAAAAAAGAACAGATTGGCCAGAATAAAACCCATGGCAATGTTGGTAACTATAAAACAAAAACCCATGGTGACTAACTGAACCGTTCTGTGTTCTGTTTTCAGAGAGCTCCATAAACGAGAGTCTGAGGCTGTCTTCAGCCTCCATGAACATCCGCGTGGCCCAGGAGGACTTCAGCTTGCGGCTGGAGGGAGAGCGCTCCATCGGAGTGAGGAAAGGAGATATCATCTCCCTGTATCCCCAGAGCATGCACATGGACCCCGAGATCTACGAGAATCCAGAGGTAAAGAAGACCAGCCATCCTCAGAATTCTGTGGGCGTTCTAGAAAAGCTGTAGGCTCTCTTCACTGTGTGTAGTCTAGTCTGGTCTGGGGGTTGTTTATGTTCTACTGTAGTGCCTCCCTCCACCACCCACACCACCTGCTATTTGTGTGTGTGTGTGTGTGTGCGTGTATGTTTGTCCCCAGGTTAGATTAATGAGGAGCATGCATGGACTGTGAGTGATTGAATCCACCCACTGGCCTTCAGAAGGTCACAACATGCATGCTAATGTAATCAGGGTGTGATGGGTGATAACCTTGCCATGATCTGTGACTGAACAAAATGGAAACTTTCCTGGAATATGCAATAAACAGGAAATATTACCCTTTATTATATCACTCCTTTGGGGTGAAGGAGCTTTAAAATATAGAAGGTCGAAAATAATAGCCTGTCTGTGCTATCATGCCAACTCCTTGTCACTCCTTGTCACTCCTTGTCATGCCAAACATGGACTTGGTTTGGCTTGACAATGACATCAATGGAGTTGGCAAGAGCATAAAAAGATCTGGGATCAGGCAAATAATAATAATCACAAAAATGCGCTAGAAACATATTATTTATTACTCTTCCAACAGATGTACAAGTTTGACCGATACGTTGAAGACGGAAAGGAAAAGACGGACTTCTATAAGGACGGCCAGAAGCTGAAGTACTACCGGATGCCATTTGGCTCAGGCTCCACTAAGTGCCCAGGAAGGTACTTTGCTGTGAATGAGATAAAGCAGTTCCTGTCTCTGCTGCTGCTTCATTTTGACATGGAAGTGGTGGAGGGGCAGGAGCCGTGTTCCTTGGACTCCAGTCGTGCTGGCCTGGGCATCCTGCTCCCTGCCACAGATGTCCAGATCCACTACAGACCACGTCAAGCCTGAGAGGAAGAGGGGGACCTCTGTATAAACGAACAATAGAGGGCTGAGCCCCATGCAGCTCATATGGATTTTTACTATTTTCTCATAGGGTGCATATTTCACACATTGTGCACTATTTTAGAACAGGACCCATAGGGCTCTGGTCAAAAGTACTGCTCTATATTGGGAATAGGGTGCCATTTGAGATGCACCCATGTATTTTACTATTTTTTCATAGACTGATGTTAACTCTATGGTTATTCATACGATAAGTTATTGACTGAACAGCAACGTATTGCTAATTTGTCAATGTATTAAATAGGCAAGCTCTAGCAATGGGTAAGGCTAGTGAATCTGCTAGCTAGGAACCATTTGGTGTTTTATTCCATAGGACAGAATGATCCAATAATTAGTTAGTTAGCTGTTTTTGCTGTTAAAAATTGATAGTATTTTCATTTAATACAAAAAATATATGGTAATGTTTATTATGCCTTGCTTATATTATTAAATAATCTGTAGCCTACTGTACGGATAGTATAAAATAGTTGAACTATTTTACAGGGTAAAGCACAATGTGATCATAGCTTTATGTATTAGATGGTGTTGTCCCTAAACATTTCTGATGACTTTGAATTTTTCAATAACAATAACCGACCATTTAAAGTTATACATTCAAATGTCTTTCCTATTTCAAGACACTAACAGGATACTTACTATTTACTATAAAATAAATTAAAACCTAACAAACCAATTCTGCACGTGGCTGTAATTGTATTCATACATTTTCACCTAAAAGTGACCTCTATTCTTTTAATGGGGTCATTGGAGTCTGCAAAGTTATCAACTATGATCAAAGACGAATTGTTTTGTTTGACAAACTCACTGTGGCTATGACTTGCCAATCATTGTTTGAGTCTGTGTTGCTTTGCTTGCTACTTAAAAGACCCCATTTATGTTTGTTAGGCTATATGGCTGAGCTTTTACATAGTATTTAGTATACATTAATAATAATAATAACAATTAATAACAAACTTAAATTGATAGAAATAAATTGTCGATAAATTGTGACTTTCAGTTGTTAACTGTAGCCTTACTTTCAGTCCAATTTGGTTGGAACACGTTTGGCATGTGGTTGTACATAGACGATTTAGAATATAATGCAAAAATATAGACCATAAAATCTCTATTATATCACCAATACAATTTATTCATCGAACATCATCGAATCAAACTGAATGAAATTAATAAAGGCCTACATAATGGTCAAATAAATAGACTGGACTTGCATTGTAATTTGTTAAAGTCAAATTAGCCTCACCATTTTGACCATGTTATGGAGCTGGCATTTCGTTTGGTGTTGCAAAAACAACAGCAATTTTCGATACATAATCACCATGAAATATATAACATAATCATATACAGTAAGAATCCATATTTTGGTAATGTGGTTACTTCTCAGTCAGTCACGCTGGTCCCATCAATTCAGTTTTGTGCACGAAACTTGGAAGTCCCCTGTTAGTGTCGTCGGCCACAACTGTTCAAGGTTTATGGTTGAAGTGTTTATTAAAGAGATTTGCATTGCTATGGAAAGGGTCTGGAGTCACAGCAGAGAACGGGTATCCTGTCGGCTGGTCATAGAGCCCTAATCCGGGTGCACCAGATGTATTCGCCGCGGTAACGCCGGGTCCATGGTTAAGATAAGTGACAAGTCTTCTCATCTCTTCAAGTGCTTGCGCCTGCATGAGGATGTAGTTTTTGGCGAGGAGCAAAGTGGCTATTTTGGATAACTTCCGTACGGACGGGCTGTGTGCGTAGGGGATCACCGACCTCAGTTCATCGAGCGCGTCGTTCAGGTCATGCATCCTCCTCCTCTCCCGGGCGTTAATGTTCAGCCGCAGCACTTTCTGCTCTTTGTGTTTCTTACCTGCGTCACATTTGGCCATTGATGCCATGAGCCTTTCCTCAGGAAAAAGCACCATGTCACTCCTGCCAATGCCATCACTGTCATCATCCTGACTCTGCTCCCCGCCGCTGCTCTCCGCCGCAGTTGCGGCGGCAGCGGTGTGTTTTAAAAATTCCCCGTACTTTACGCACAAGGATTCAGATGGGAAGCCAAGTGTTCCCGCCTGAACTCCGGCCATTGTTCCCGGCTGTGAGTGCTCCTGATCAAAACTCATGGATGATTGTCGATCTCTGGGAGAGGGAGACAGTCCTATGCTGGAGCCCGATCTGAAAGAATCCATCCTTTTGCGTCCAAACGCTGGATATTTGTGAAGAAGATCTCTACTACAGCGTTCTGGTGTGCGCAGTCCTGTTAAGTTAGTGGTCCCACCCCCCACCCTTTCTCGACCACTGGTGATTGCCCTGGATTCTGGCCGCCGCTTTTAGTAAATCTTGATGTTACACTTGTCCAGTGACGGTCTAATATGATACAGTACAGTGCGCCCTCAGAGGTTCACCTTCACGAGATAATAAAACACATTAGGAGAAGCAGGATTATGAGGTAGACAGTTTTCTACTTGATTAACTCCAGGCAGGAGTGAGAGGTTTATTTTATGGACCAATTCGAGAGACAACAACCAATGCATAATAGGATACATGATGATGCCATTGCCCATCATTAACGTTAATGTGCGCTGCGATGACAGGGATGGAGATAATGGTTGCATCCCGTGTCAATTATTGGTTTCAATCATAAAACCGATCATCAGTTGACTTGACTACTGTTTTAAATGCATCTTAAAGATAACTCATTGTGGTATTGGGCAGCATAGCACAGGTCTATATTGGACTGGTCCATAGCAGGCTTCTGTGGTCTGTGGCCTTCTTCCTGATTCTGTTACAAATCCTCAGATGTGTGGATATATGATTTTATTTTATTTGTCAGGTGAGCTCTATTTGGCCCTAACATAAAATATATTTCTCCAAGGCCCAAAACAACTGCAAAATTATAACTTTCAAATGACATGGAGAAAATAACATTTAAAAAAAGAGATTATTCATGCTTCCAATCATGCTTCCAAGTATTTGGAAGCATGACATATCAATTTTTTTAAGAATGTGATCTTATAATTATGTATTATATCAAACTAAATCAACCTGAGAAAGGCACGTTAACAACTGAATATACCATAAGCTCCTCCCCTACTGCAGAGTGCAACAATTATGAAGACTTCTCAGCTACAGTGGATGGAACATAAAGTCTATAACAGTCTATTCTTCCTCTATACATGAATCATAATGGCACATTGGCTTAGGAATACTTTACCTATCCTGGCTGCATGCTATTTTGGAATTGTATAGTGTTTCTCTTTTCTACATTCTCATTCTATGAACCTTAGCATATTATGTATTATAAAACCCCAAAATATATATATTTCAATTGCAAACGTGAAGAGGCTGTTGAACAGCAGAGTGGACATGTTACTGCCCTTGAAGGAGGACTGGTAACACTCAGCTGTAACTACACTACCAGTAGTACATCTCCTGATCTCTTCTGGTACATCCAGTTAACTAGGGACTCTCCTCAGTATGTCCTGAGAAGAGATCGTTATTCAGAAGGGAGCAATAGTGATGACTTCAACGAGAGGTTTGGTTCCAGGCTGAATTTCACATCTAGCTCTGTCCCCTTGACGATCCAGAGGTTGCAGCTATCTGACTCTGCTGTGTACTACTGTGCTCTGAGGCCCACTGTGACAACAGTAGATTCAGTCACTGTACAAAAACTCAGGGTAGAGTGTTGTTCAGACAATGTCAGAAGCTTCTCAATGTTTGACGATACACAGAAAGAGGAGGAGACAAGGAGTTCATAGTCTCATCATGGTCTAGTTCCATCAGAGTGGTATTACTCTTCTCCCACTGATCTCACAGTAGCAGGTATGGAACCCTGGCTGAAGAATATACTGGTTCTTGCTACATGTTGTTATGGTATGATAATATTTTCCTTATTCATTTACTGCCTTTGCTCCCATTCCTATTGCTACTATTAATATTATATGTTTTTATTCTCCCAATCATGTTGCTTGATAATTTTTTCTCCCTAATGCAAATGTGTATTACATTATTTTCCAGAATGCAGAAGAGAAGAGTCAATCACTCAGCCACCAGGAGATGTGATCGCTACTGAGGGAGAACCGGTCACACTGGACTGTCAATTTGATACTGTGGATACAAATCCAGACCTGTTCTGGTACAAGCAGGGAGCTAATGATTTCCCAAAGTATATGCTAAAGTGGTTGACCTTTGGATCAGATAATGCCATTGAATTCCAGGGGAGATATGATGCCCATCTCAATTTAACTACATTTAAATCAGCATCAAAATCAGTCCCCTTGACGATCCAGAGGTTGAAGCTGCCTGACTCTGCTATGTACTACTGTGCTCTGGGGCCCACTGTGACAACAGGATATACAGCCCCCTTACAGTACCTAAACATTTGAACTCCTTGCATCCAATCAGATTATTCAATTATGTTATTGGTAGTAAAACATATATTGATGAAGCAGTCATTTAAATGTGAGTAATTAAGTTGATTTCAAAAAGTCTTAAAAAATAAGCAATTTCTTTCAATCACTTTTATTATCTATTTTTCCTCTGCAGGAATGGTATCTAGAGATAGTGTGACTCCTAACAAGGAGGAGTACACCCCCACTGAGGGTGATACAGAGTCTCTGAGAGGATGTACAAAAAGTAGTACACTGATAATTGATATAGGGTTGACCATATCTCTAATCATCGATATGAATCTACAATGTCCCAAACGTCAACTACACTCATAATAAAACAAGTAACTCTGGCAGACACAGCTCTCTACTAATGTGCCCTGAAGGACACCCAGAAATACAGAGTCTCTGAGAGGATGTACAAAAATACTACATTGATAAATGACTTGTTTTAGATTAGCTTGTTGGTCATTTGCTGACCACAGTTCATTATCATGCAGCAGAGAGTCTGTAGATTAGATTATTGTGGTAACAACTGTTCTTACAGTAAGTAAAAACACATTTAGCATGAAAGGGGAAACTTCTATTACATACAAATTAGAGAATATTATCAATATGGAAACCAAATAATTTGAAAATGCATTTATCTTCCTGGTTTTCATTCACTTCAGAAGATCCTCTGAACAATGAGTTGTGTTGTGTTTAGAGGAGGAGCTAGTATGAGAATGAAAAGGAGACAGTCAAAATGGCATGAAGGTCTTTCCTCAGTGCATTGTAAGCTTGTCTCTCTAACATTAACCATGCTGTGCTGGTTCACCTTGTTCTTTTTAACATTTGTGAGTAATTCAAATACATTTAACAGTAATGATAATGTGTAATTACTTCATTACAAGCTTGGAAAAACAACACACCTGCATTCATATCAAGCTTTGACCAGACAAAGATAACTTTAATTTCACGTCAGTTTTCTGCAGGTGATAGTTGTGGGGATGGAATTTTCTCCAACAGTCTTGAGGAGGATATGATTCAGTTCAATTCGGAAATTTACATACACTTTAGCCAAATACATTTAAACTCAGTTTTTCACAATTCCTGACATTTAATCCTAGTAAAAATGCCCTGTCTTAAGTCAGTTAGGATCACCACTTTATTTTAAGAATGTGAAATGTCAGAATAATAATTCCTGACTGATGTCTTGAGATGTTGCTTCTATATATCCACATCATTTTTCTTCCTCATGATGCCATCTATTTTGTGAAGTGCACCAGTCCCTCCTGCAGCAGAGCACCCCCACAGCATGATGCTGCCACCCCCGGGCTTCACGGTTGGGATGGTGTTCTTCGGCTTGCAAGCTGCCCCCTTTTTCCTACAAACATAACGATGGTCATTATGGCCAAACAGTTCTATTTTTGTTTCATCAGACCAGAGGACATTTCTCCAAAAAGTACGATCTTTGTCCACATGTGCAGTTGCAAACTGTAGTCTGGCTTTTTTATGGTGGTTTTGGAGCAGTGGCTTCTTCCTTGCTGAGCGGCCTTTCAGGTTATGTCAATATAGGACTCGTTTTTACTGTGGATATAGATACTTTTGTACCTGTTTCCTCCAGCATCTTCACAAGGTCCTTTGCTGTTGTTCTGGGATTGATTTGCACTTTTTGCACCAAAGTACGTTCATCTCTAGGAGACAGAACGCGTCTCCTTCCTGAGCGGTATGACGGCTGCGTGGTCCCATGGTGTTTATACTTGCGTACTATTATTTGTACAGATGAACGTGGTACCTTCAGGCGTTTGGAAATTGCTCCCAAGGATGAACCAGACTTGTGGAGGTCTACAATAATTTTTCTGAGGTCTTGGCTGATTTCTTTTGATTTTCCCATGATGTCAAGCAAAGAGGCACTGAGTTTGAAGGTAGGCCTTGAAATACATCCACAGGTACACCTCCAATTGACTCAAATTATGTCAATTAGCCTATCAGAAGCTTCTAAAGCCATGACATCATTTTCTGGAATTTTCCAAGCTGTTTAAAGGCACAGTCAACTTAGTATATGTAAACTTCTGACCCACTGGAATTGTGATACAGTGAATTATAAGTGAAATAATCTGTCTGTAAACAATTGTTGGAAAAATTACTTGTGTCATTGTCACGCCCTGGCTCTGGGACTCTGTTATGTTGAGCCAGGGTGTGTGGTTTCTATGTGTTTTGTGTGCTAGGGTGTTTATCTAGTTCATTTGTTTCTATGTTGGCCGGTGTGGTTCTCAATCAGAGGCAACGTGAATCAGCTGTTGCTTGTTGTCTCTGATTGGGAACCATACTTAGGCAGCCTGTTTTCCACAGTGTGTTGTGGGATCTTGTTCCGTGTATGGTTAGTGTTTGTAACCAAGGACGTCACGTTATCGGTTTGTTGTTTTGTTCGTGTGATCATTCAAATTAAAAGTATGTTCGCATTCCACGCTGCGCCTTGGTCCTCTGTGTATGACGATCGTGACAGTCATGCACAAAGTAGATGTCCTAACCGACTTGCCAAAACTATAGTTTGTTAACAAGAAATTAGTGGAGTGGTTAAAAAACAAGTTTTAATGACTCCAACCTAAGTGTATGTAAACTTACGACTTCAACTGTACATGGTGGCAGTGTCAAGCTTTCCTGCAACTACACAGTATCTGGTGGAGGCAGTGTCTTATGGTATCACCAATATCCCACATCTGCTCCCCAATTCCTCCTCCTCATGTCAGTGTATTCATCATCTGCTGAGACAATAGTTACTGCAGAACCACCGTATCTCCGACTGTCAGTTAACGTTGACAAAATGGCTGAACGTGTGGATCTGAAGATCTCCTCTGCTGAAGTGACAGACTCTGCTCTGTACTACTGTGCTCTGAGGCCCACAGTGACAGGAAACCCAGAGGCAGGTACAGCACTGTACAGAATCAGGGGATAACAATCCTGGTTGTGAACTGTTTCAGATATAATTATTATCTGTCAGTTCCAACTCAGGTTGACAACACCTTAACGCTTAAAGAAGTCCACATTATCAGTCCTTCTTCACCCCAATCAATACCATTTAAATCAACAAGATATACAGTATAACTCCCTATCTTTAGAGGGCCTCACCTCAACACCACACAAACCTCTATTTCTCTGAGCAGGTGTCTCCTCCTCCTGACAGTGGAGGTAGTTGCAGGGCAGACAGACAGCAGCCAAACAGTACATATCAAATATCACATCCTGCAGATCACAGTACACTGCATATCACATATCAAACAGTACACTGCATATCAGACAGTTGAGATAACCCCTGTCCTGTAGCTGCATTTTCTGTCACATACACCATGATGTTGCTCACTTCAATCTTACTGTTTTCACCACTTGTTGGTAAGTAAGGTTTTATGTAAAGTCATTAACACACTGTCTGGCATTATTTCATTCGTAAATATTGGGCTGCTTCAAATATAAAATAAGAGGTTTTGATATTTAGTCTCATGCTTATTTTCGTCTCCTTCACAGGTGATACTTTAGAGGATGATATTACTCCAACCAGCCCTGAGGAGTATTATTTAGAGGGTAGTAGAGTTAAGCTCTCCTGTAACAGTAAAAGCAGGTAGTCTGCTGTGGTACAGACAGTACTCTGGATCAGGTCTCCAATTCCTTTACCTCGTAACAACTACCAATAATCCATATGACGTGAGAGGTGATCCACAATACTTTCGACTGTCTGTTACACTGAACAAGGAGAGAACCTGTGTGGATCTGGAGACCTCCTCTGCTGAAGTGACATACTCTGCTCTGTACTACTGTGCTCTGAGGACCACAGTGACAGGAAACCCAGAAACACAAAAAAAACCTGACAACATATACTGTAGAAAGAAAGACACAACAGAAAACATTTCACAGTGGTGTTAAGAGGTGGGGCTGTATAATCAAAGATCCAGATGCAGCATATGGGATGTTATTGTTCAGGAAGTGGCTAGTCAGTCAGGTCTCTCAGTGATGTCTGTCTGTCTGTATGTCTGTTTCTCAAAGGCCTAACAAGATGTTGCTCTTCTCATTAGTTCTCTTTTCAGCTTGTTTAGGTGAGTTATTATATGGTTGAATCCTTGCTCTCATCTGTGAATTTAATCTTACTGTGAATGAAGAATATATTTTAATCAAAACACTTATCTTAGTACAATAATATCGTAGATGTTAATATTATATTTTTAACAGTTATGGAACATTTGTTAAACGTCAGTTACAACTACAATTTTTACTGTTACATTTTTTGCAGGAAACAGTTTTGGGGATTCAATAAACCCTGCGACAACTAAAGAGCTTGTTCAGGAGGGAAGGAATGTCCATCTCTCCTGCAAACATGATGGCACTGTCTACAATCTACAGTCGTACCGCCAATATCCCAGATCCAAACCAGAATTCCTCCTGTACATCACATCAGAGGGGTATATATTTAAAGCTACTCCCCCACATCCTCGTCTGACAGTTACCATCGACAAAGTGGACAAACGTGTGGATCTGAAGATCTCCTCTGCTGAAGTGACAGACTCTGCTCTGTACTACTGTGCCATGGCGCCCACAGTGAGAGGAAACCCAGACACACTGTACAAAAACCTGTCAAGTCCCTTGGGAAGAAACCAATGAGAAGAGGAGGAGCTACAGTAAGCGGAAATTAAGTAAGATACGTCAAGGCAACAGAGGAGTAAATATTCAGAGATAGCCAAGATTATGTTTCTGTATGCAATGCTGCTGCTATGCACATTTGTAGGTAAGTGACACTTAACTGATAAGTATGCTTAAAAAAAGTATATTATGTTTTATATTACATTTTCTTTTCATTAACATATGTACTACAACTACACTTTTAAAAAAAATACAGATTACAGTTTTGAGAATGCTATTGCTCATTTGAGAAATTAAGGGCATGTCTTGGAGGGAACCACTGTCACCCTGTCCTATAACTGCTCCTCAAGTTCTACAATTGGAAAAAGATTCTACTGGGATCATCAAACCAGTGCTGGGAAAATGCCAACATTCCTTCTATGGATGATAGATACAGACCTCCAAGAGAATTGGTCGCCTGCTATTCTGTTAGGTTATATTGATACAGAGACCAAACGTGCTGATCTGAATAACTCCTCTGCTGAAGTGACATACTCTGCTCTGTACTAATGTGCCATGAAGACCACAGTGAACCATGGGAGGAAACAGACATATTGTACAGCATACAGTACTTAAATAACATACCTACTGTATGTTAAGGGGAGGGACTTATGGTAGAGGAGGGGCTGAACAAGCAGTATAGAAACATAAAAACAGGAGGAAACTTTCAGAGACCGCTTGGATCTGTCTGTCAGTATGTCTCTGTTCATCTAAGATGGTGTTGCTGTATTCAGTGTTGTTCCTGACCATATTTATTGATAGGCAATACAATACAAAACAATACAGTACAATTCAATTCAATACAATGCATTGCCATAATTGTCCATTTGAAATCAATTCCACTTCAAATATATTTTCATTAACAATTAAATGTGTGTTTAAAAACCATTCTCTATGCAGGTGTCAGTTGTGAGGACCTCACTCCACTCAAGAAAGAAGAGTTCTGTTTAGAGGGAACCCCTGTTACCCTGTCTTACAACTACTCCAGAACAGCTACTGGTGGAGATTAAATATATTGGTATCACCAAGACACAGCACAAAGGCCAGAGTTCCTCCTGTACATCTCAGGTTCAGGGTTTATAAAGAAAGCAGATCCTTTGACCACTCGAATATCTGCAAAACTGAATGAAGAGAAAAAACGTTTGGAACTGGAGATGACAGGCTCTGCTCTGTACTACTGCTCTGTGAGGCCCACAGTGACAGGAAACCTAAACACACTGTACAACAAAAAAAAAACTCAGAAGGGACCACATCAGCAGGAAGTTATCTGGTTGCTTTTTTAACTTGTATCTAACCCATACTTTGTAGATATCTAAACACTAATGAATTATATTAATGTCTCCGATAAATAAAGCCTATGACTCAAATGTTTCACCTGTCCTTAATTTGATTTGAGCCTTGATACATTCTGTCAATTTGATGGGTATTCCTATTCTGCTACAGTCAGGCCTCTTAACCACATCATATACATACAATATGCATGGATTAAATGGCATCATTGGTCTCAACATGGACCTACCTGTAAAACATAACACATACAGTGCATTCGGAAAGTACCCCTTGACTTTTTCCACATTTTGTTACGTTTCAGCCTTATTCTAAAATTGATTAAATTGTTTTTCCCCTCATCAATCTAAAAACAATAACCCATAATTCCAAAGCAAAAAATAGGTTTTGAGATATTTCTGATAATGTATAAAAAATTAAAAATATAAATATTACATTTACATAAGTATTCAGACCCTTTACTCAGTACTTTGTTGAAGCTCATTTGGCAGCGATTACAGCCTCGAGTCTTCTAGTGTATGATGCTACAAGCTTGGCACAACTGTATTTGGGGAGTTTCTCCCATTCTTCTCTGCAGATCCTCTCAAGCTCTGTCAGGTTGGATGGGAAGCGTCGCTGCACAGCTATTTTCAGGTCTTTCCAGAGATGTTCGATCGGGTTCAAGTCTGGGCTCTGGCTGGGCCACTCAAGGACATTCAGAGACTTGTCCCGAAAACATTCCTGCGTTGTCTTGGCTGTGTGCTTAGGGTCGTTGTCCTGTTGGAAGGTGAACCTTCGTCCAAGTCTGAGCCCTCTGGAGCAGGTTTTCATCAAGGATCTCTCTGTACTTTGCTCCGTTCATCTTTCCCTTGATCCTGACTAGTCTCCCAGTCCCTGCCGCTGAAAAACATCCCCACAGCATGATGCTGCCACCCCCATGCTTCACCGTATGGATGGCGCCATGTTTCCTCCAGATGTGACGCTTGGCATTCAGGTCAAAGAGTTCAATCTTGGTTTCATCAGACCAGAGAATCTTGTTTCACATGGTCTGAGAGTCCTTTAGGTGCCTTTTGGCAAACTCCAAGCGGGCTGTCATGTGCCTTTTATTGAAGAGTGGCTTCCGTCTGGCCACTCTACCATAAAGGCCTGATTGGTGGAGTGCTGCAGAGATGGTTGTCCTTCTGAAAGGTTCTCCCATCTCCACAGAGGAACTCCAGAACGCTGCCAGAGTGACCATCGTGTTATTGGTCACCTCCCTGACCAAGGATCTTCTTCACCGATTGCTCAGTTTGGCCAGGCGGCCGCTCTAGGAAGAGTCTTGGTGGTTCCAAACTTCTTCCATTTAAGAATGATGGAGGCCACTGTGTTCTTGGGGACCTTCACTGCTGCAAAATGTTTTTGGTAAACTTCCCCAGATCTGTGCCTCGACACAATCCTGTCTCAGAGCTCTACAGACAATTCCTTCGACCTCATGACTTGGTTTTTGCTCTGACGTGCACTGTCAACTGTGGGACCTCATATAGACAGGTGTGTGACTTTCAAAAGCATGTCCAATCAATTGAATTTACCACAGGTGGACTCCAATAAAGTTGTAGAAACATCTGAAGGATGATCAATGGAAACAGGAGCTCAAGTTTGAGTCGCATAGCAAAGGGTCTGAATACTTCTGTATCATTATGGGGTGTGTGTATGTTGATGAGGATATTTTTTTTAACATCCATTTTAGAATAAGGCTCTAACTTAACAAAATGTGGAAAAAGTCAAGGGGTATGAATACTTTCTGAAGACACTGTATGTCTGCAACCAAACACCATGCAAAGGAGAAACATGTAGGATTTTTACAGCAACACTTGACCAGTAGCCTAAGCTGGCTACTCAACAACAAGATACAGCAATGCTGCATTCAACCACACTGGTGATCCATGCAGTGCAAAAAAAATGAAAAATATGTAGAACAAAGCAGAGTCTGTCACTTCAACAGAGGAGATCTCCAGATCCACACGTTCAGCCACTTTGTCAACGTTAACTGACAGTCGAGGACACGGCGGATCTGCATGAACTATTGTCTCAGCAGATGCTGAATACACTGAGATGAGGAGGAGGAATTGGCGAGCAGATGTGGGATATTGGTGATACTATAAGACACTGCGTCCACCAGATACTGTGTAGTTGCAGGAAAGCTTGACACTGCCACCATGTATCACATCCTCCTCAAGACTGTTGGAGAAAGTTCCATCCCCACCTACAGAAAATAAAATAAAAGTTATTTTTCTCCGGTCAAAGCTTGTGTGTTGTTTTTCTAAGCTTGTAATGACGTAATTACACATTATCATTACTGTTAAATGTATTTTACTTACCCAGTGATGTTTAAAAAGAACAAGGTGAACCAGCACAGCATGGTTAATGTTAGAGAGACAAGTTTACAATGCACTGAGGAAAGACCTTCATGCTATTTTGACTGTCTAATTTTCATTCTCATACTAGATCCTCCTCTAAACACAACGCAACTCATTGTTCAGAGGATCTTCTGAAGTGAATGAATAAGAGGAAGAACATTTTATTTTAAAATGCTTTGGTTTCCATATTCATAATATTCTTTAATTTGTATGTTATACAATTTTCCACTATTATGCTAAATGTGTTTTTACAACTGGTGTAACCACAATAATGTTATCTACAAACCCTGTGTTGCTCTGAGCCTGATAATGAACTGTGGTCAGGAAATGACCAACAAGCTCATCTAAAACAAGTCATTTATCAGTGTACTAGTTTTTGTACATCCTCTCAGAAACGTCCTTCAGGGCACAGTAGTGGAGCTGTGTCTGCCAGAGTTTCTTGTTTTATCATGAGTGTAGTTGACGTTTGGGATGTTGTAGATTCATATAGATGATTAGAGATATGGTCAACACTATTTGCTCTGGCACCTTTATACAGTAGGTACTGAGGTGCCTGGTTAGGGTGTTGTTGGTGCCAGTAAAGGTAGATGTTACTGCTGCTTGTTTCATATGTACAGCTCAGAGTTACTAATAATCCCTCAGTGGGGGTGTACTCCTCCTTGTCAGAAGTCACATTATCTCCAGATACCATTCGTGCAGAGGAAAAATAGATAATATAGCTGATTGAAAACGCATTCTTATTTTTCACATTTCAATTACTTTACTTCATAAAAAGATGTTTTACTACCAATACCATAATTTAATAATCTGATTATAAGGATGGAAGGAGTTCAAATGTTTAGGTATTGTTTACCTGTAGTCATAATCAGAATGATTAATACACTGATTGATTTCTCCATCTTCAGGCTGATGTTTGCATGCATTCACTCTCCTCTGAAATGTTCTTCTGTGTGTCACTGTGTGAGATTGAAAGTCCAATGTGACCTGTCCTCCCTCAGTAGTGATCACATCTCCTGGTGGCTGAGTGACTGAGTCTTCTCCTCTGCATTCTGGAAATTGACACACATTTGTATTAGGGGAGAGAGAAGATAAGCAACATGATAGAGGGAATTAAAATGTATAAAAGTAATAGTAGTAGTAGTAGAAAACTGAAAAATATGTTTGAAAAAAGAAATGCATTTGAGCAAAAGCGGTAAACAAATAAGGAAAATAATATTACCATACCATAACAACATGCAGCAAGAAGACTTTATGTTCCATCCACTGTAGCTGAGAAGTCTCATAATTGTGGGGACTCTGCAGCAGGGGAGGAGTTTATTGTATATTCAATTTAGTTGAACTGCTAGAAGGATTCCCTGTGAAGTGTTGCCCTTCTCAGGTTGATTTAGTTTGAAATGCTAATTGATTGACTCTACTGACACCTATTGACTCTCACTAGTAACTTACCCTTGAAAATACAAGCAATGTCAAGGTGTCACCTTGTTGGGCAGAATGTTGAACACTAGATAGAACTATTGTGTCATTATTAGACATAGAAATACCCTGTCACTGGACTTCATAACTGTGGAAGGCAGTCTACAGGAGGAGTACAGACAAATAAGATCGGTCATATAACTGATCAGGAGGCAGAGAGAACATCTCAGTGGTTGTGGCTGAAGAGTGAGAAGCAGTGGACGAGCCACCTGGCTCACTTGGGCCTGTTCAACCCATCCTTCAGAAGGTGTAGTGGGCAGCACATGTAGGATAAGAAGGTACCTGTGGCCAGTGATTTTCAAGTCTGTATGTAGGCAGCAGCCTCTCTGTGCTAGTGATGGCTGTTTAACAGTCTGATGGCTTTGAGATAGAAACTGTTTTTCAGTCTCTCGGTCCAAGCTTTGATGCACTTATACTGACCTCGCCTTCTGGATGATAACGGGGTGAACAGGCAGTGGCTCGGGTGGTAGTTGTCCTTTTTATTTTTGGCCTTCCTGTTACATCGGGTCCTGGAGGGCAGGTAGTTAGCCCCCGGTGATGCGTTGTGCAGACCACACCACCCTCTGGAGAGCCCTGCGGTTGCGGGCGGTGCAGTTGCCGTACAAGGCGGTGATACAGCCCGACAGGATGCTCTCAATTGTGCATCTGTTTGTGAGGGTTTTTAGGTGACAGGCAAATTTCTTCAGCCTCCTGACGCTGTTGCGCCTTCTTCACCGCACTGTCTGTGTGGGTGGACCATTTCAGTTTGTCAGTGAAATGTACGCAGAGGAACTTTCCACCTTCTTCACTGCTGTCCTGTCGATGTGGATAGGGGGGTACTCCTTCTGCTGTTTCCTGAAGTCCACGATCATCTCCTTTGTTTTAATGACGTTGAGTGAAAGGTCATTTTTCTGACACCACACTCTGAGAGCCCTCACCTCCGCCCTGTAGGCTGTCTTATCATTGTTGGTAATCAAGCCTACTACTGTTGTGTCGTCTGCAAACTTGATGAGTGAACAGGGAGTACAGGAGGGGGCTGAGCACACACCCTTGCGAGGCCCCAGTGTTGAGGATCAGCAAAGTGGAGATGTTGTTTCCTACCTTCACCACCTGGGGGCGGCCCGTCAGGAAGTCCAGGACCCAATTGCACAGGGAGGGGTTGAGACACAGGGCCTCAAGCTTAATGATGAGCTTGGAGGGTACTATGTTGTTGAATGCTGAGCTATAGTCAATGAACTGCATTCTTACATAGGTATTCCTCTTGTCCAGATGGGATAGGGCAGTGTGCAGTGTGATGGCGATTGCATCGTCTGTGGACCTATTGGGGCGGTAAGCAAATTGAAGTGGGTCTAGGGTGACAGGGAAGGTGGAGGTGATATGATCCTTGACTAGTCTCTCAAAGCACTTCATGATGACAGAAGTGAGTGCTACAGGGCGATAGTCATTCAGTTCAGTTACCTTTGCATTCTTGGGTACAGGAACAATGGTGGCCATCTTGAAGCATGTGGGGACAGCAGACTGCGATAGGGAGAGATGTAATATGTCCGTAAACACAACAGCCAGCTGGTCTGCGCATGCTCTGAGGACGCGGCTAGGAATGCCATCTGGGCCAGCAGCCTTGTGAGGGTTAACACGTTTAAATGTCTTACTCACGTCGGCCACGGAGAAGGAGAGCCCACAGTCCTTGGTAGCTGGCCGCGTCGTTGGCACTGTGTTATCCTCAAAGCGGGCAAAGAACTTGTTTAGCTTGTCTGGCAGCAAGACGTCGCTGTCCACGATGTGGCTGGTTTTCCTATTGTAGTCCGTGATTTCCTATTGTTGTCCGCCACATACAGTGGGGAGAACAAGTATTTGATACACTGCCGATTTTGCAGGGTTTCCTACTTACAAAGCATGTAGAGGTCTGTAATTTTTATCATAGGTACACTTCAACTGTGAGAGACGGAATCTAAAACAAAAATCTAGAAAATCAAACTGTATGATTTTTAAGTAATGAATTTGCATTTTATTGCATGACATAAGTATTTGATACATCAGAAAAGCAGAACTTAATATTTGGTACAGAAACCTTTGTTTGCAATTACAGAGATCATACGTTTCCTGTAGGTCTTGACCAGGTTTGCACACACTGCAGCAGGGATTTTGGCCCACTCCTCCATACAGACCTTCTCCAGATCCTTCAGGTTTCGGGGCTGTCGCTGGGCAATACGGACTTTCAGCTCCCTCCAAAGATTTTCTATTGGGTTCAGGTCTGGAGACTGGCTAGGCCACTCCAGGACCTTGAGATGCTTCTTACGGAGCCACTCTTTAGTTGCCCTGGCTGTGTGTTTCGGGTCGTTGTCATGCTGGAAGACCCAGCCACGACCCACCTTCAATGCTCTTACTGAGGGAAGGAGGTTGTTGGCCAAGATCTCGCGATACATGGCCCCATCCATCCTCCCCTCAATACGGTGCAGTCGTCCTGTCCCCTTTGCAGAAAAGCATCCCCAAAGAATGATGTTTCCACCTCCATGCTTCACGGTTGGGATGGTGTTCTTGGGGTTGTACTCATCCTTCTTCTTCCTCCAAACACGGCGAGTGGAGTTTAGACCAAAAAGCTCTATTTTTGTCTCATCAGACCGCATGACCTTCTCCCATTCCTCCTCTGGATCATCCAGATGGTCATTGGCAAACTTCAGACAGGCCTGGACATGCGCTGGCTTGAGCAGGGGGACCTTGCGTGCGCTGCAGGATTTTAATCCATGACGGCGTAGTGTGCTACTAATGGTTTTCTTTGAGACTGTGGTCCCAGCTCTCTTTAGGTCATTGACCAGGTCCTGCCGTGTAGTTCTGGGCTGATCCCTCACCTTCCTCATGATCATTGATGCCCCACAAGGTGAGATCTTGCATGGAGCCCCAGACCAAAGGTGATTGACCATCATCTTGAACTTCTTCAATTTTCTAATAATTGTACCAACAGTTGTTGCCTTCTCTCCAAGCTGCTTGCCTATTGTCCTGTAGCCCATCCCAGCCTTGTGCAGGTCTACAATTTTATCCCTGATGTCCTTACACAGCTCTCTGGTCTTGGCCATTGTGAAGAGGTTGGAGTCTGTTTGATTGAGTGTGTGGACAGGTGTCTTTTATACAGGTAACGAGTTCAAACAGGTGCAGTTAATACAGGTAATGAGTGGAGAACAGGAGGGCTTCTTAAAGAAAAACTAACAGGTCTGTGAGAGCCGGAATTCTTACTGGTTGGTAGATGATCAAATACTTCTGTCATGCAATAAAATGCAAATTCATTACTTAAAAATCATTTCTTGTGTCTGAGCTGTTGAATTTCGACTCCACTTTGTCTCGATATTGACGTTTTGCCTGTTTGATTGCCTTGCGGAGGGAATGACCACTCTGTTTTGTATTCTGCCAAATTCCCCGTCACCATGTCATGGTTAAATGCGGTGGTTTGTGTTTTCAGTTTTTCGCAAATGCTGCCATCTCAATCAGATTGGAAAGATTGGCTGATCGGGCAGCAGTGAGAGCCTTTCGATATTGCACGATACTGTCTTTCCAAGCTAGTTGTAAGACTTCCAATTTGGTGTAGTGCCATTTCCGTTCCAATTTTCTGGAAGCTTGCTTCAGGGCTCAGGTATTTTCTGTATACTAGGGAGCTAGTTTCTTGTGACAATTTGTTTTAGTTTGTAGTGGTGCGACTGCATCTAGGGTATTACGCAAGTTAAGTTTAGATCCCTGGTTAAGTGGTGAACTGATTTTTGTACTCCAACACCCTTGGGTAGGTGGAGGGAGTCTGTAAGGGCATCAATTCAACTTTGGGTTGTCTGAGAATTTAAAGCGCGACTTTTGATAATCCTTGGTTGGGGTCTAAGCAAATTATTTGTTGCGATTTCAAACATAATAAGATGGTGGTCCGATAGTCCAGAATTATGAGGAAAAACATTTAGATCCACAATATCTATTCCACAGGACAAAACTAGATCCACGGTATGATTGTGGCAATGCATAGGTCCTGAGTCATGTTGGATAAACTCCACTGAGTCTTTGATGGCTCCAAGAGCCTTTTGAAGTGGGTCTGTGGACTTCTCCATATGAATATTGAAGTCACCAAAAGTTTGAATATTATCTGCCATGACTACAAGGTTCGATAGGAATTCAGGAAAGTCAGTGAGGAACGCTGTATACTGCCCAGGAGGCCTGTAAACAGTAGCTTTAAAAGTGCTTGGGTAGGCTGCATAGATGTCATAACTA